CTTTAGCGCGGAATGTGCGAGAAATCGATAAATCAATAAAATCAATCATTGAAATTTTAAACGATTATCATTTCCGTAGTCAGCATATAAACTTATGCAATCCACCAACTTTCAGCACTCTAGAAGGAAGACTACGAAAAATCAACAAGTCAGAAGAATCTGTCAATACATCTTGAAGCGGTTCTCTTGTTACTCCATTGTATGATTTTCATCAGTCTGCGGCGAAATGGGCAAACATGTGAAGGCAGAATTAAGGCAAAAAAATTTGAAGTGCCCCTATTGAAAATGTATAAAAACCTCAAAGAAAATTCTAATCAACATTCCAATAGATTAAACTTTCGAATATTCTGCTGATTTGGAAATCTAACTTAGGTGTGCAACTAAGATATGTCGTGTTTAAGGTTTTTCAATTCGAGAAAACGCACAGACATAACGGATGAAAGGGTGAATCACTAACCATAACAGCCTTGATCCCAACAGTCATAAGCCAGTTTACAAACAAAAAGAAGAAATTTCGAGTTTTCAAAAATAACAAAATAGGTTGGGATGTAAAATTTCAAGTATCTTTAACAGAATCCGGTTGGAATATTTGGGTCTATAGCGAAGTGCCCTCCCTCGCGACCGTGCGTTTATCTCGCAAAAAACCAAATAGCAGTGACAGTTACTGCACAGGTGCGGACGCGCTACAGAGCTAACGCAGAAATGTAATTTACTTTTAGAGTAAAAAACACTGCTATGCCAAATTCAGCTCAAAGATGGATTTTCAACAAAAGCCGGCCTTTCCACAGGAGAGTGACGCATTAGAATTATAAATCAAATCTTAAACCTAAAAAAATGAAAGAGACGAGCTCATTTCTACAAAATCCTCGTTTAGTCGGGAAAGTTTTAATAAACATTCCGTACTAGAAAACTGAATACTCCCGACCAATCCTAATTACTGCTTTCGGCCAACTGTGAATGACAGGTTTATCTGCTCATTCCCTCAAACTCGGCTTTAAACAATCCTATCCAATACCAAATGGAAACATCATCTAAACTTTGTGTATCTTTGCTGATATTCTGCCCTGCTTTCATATATTTTCTCTATGCCGTATCTAAATCGCCAGCTTCCACAAAAAGCGTGAGTTATACTCATCTTTTTTGCCAAAATCCAATCTTTAATGGGTTTCAGAGAAAAATCTCTATTATTAAAAATTCGATTTGTAATGAATAATTCTCTAGCTTGCTGAGTTTTCCAATGTCCCGCAGATATCACTGAAAGGATGGATGAGTTGATCCAACCTTTCAAAAAGTTCTCCATAAGTGATAGCAGTCAGGAGTGGCATGTAACAACGAATTTCAACACCTTCGCTTCATACTTAACATATACGCACTACTAAAGTTAATTGAAAACCGTTACAATAGTACCAGAAGTAAAAAAATTTTTAAATTTTTTACAAGGATGAAGATCTCTCCACATTTTTGATCAGTCAGAAGATAATCAATTCTGTACGTTACAAAAGAACACATTGTTTTAAAGTATTAAATTTCAATTGGTAAAACGCTACTCGTAATGATGCCAGTTCCATCATCCCATTCTTGTCTGTCGAATTAATCGCAGTACACTAGTGACAATTTTCCAAAGCGAGTACATCAAAATGATGAAGAAGACGGGGGGCACTTACGAAGTGAGGAATTACCATAGTAGTGCCTCAATCAAAAGCTCAGAACTTACAGGCAAATGACTTCAATCTGCATGTAGCATAAGAAAGAGCAAAAAGAAGCGATTACTGAGACTTTTCCTCTACTTTCTCTAAAATTAAACTTCACACTATCCTCGAATACCCTACCAGCTCATTTCAGAGGATGATTCCTGAATCAGACATGGTTTTTGTGCCACAACGTTTTGATTACAGCGAGCAACAAAAAGCAACCCTTCTGGCTGATAAGTGAGTATCCTATAAACCTCTGACTATTTCTACATTAAAAAGATCACTATTTCTCGAAATTTTCCACAGTTAGAGCCAGAGCTTTCTTTATGCCTTATGCAAAATCCTAAGTAAGAGAACAGTTTGATGGTTTTGATAAGGAATAAAAACAAAGTTTTTTCCTTTGCTTAGTATAGCTTACGCCATGCCCATCATTAATATAAGTTAACATTTACAAATGCTTACCTTAGATATTAATTCACTAAAAAATTTCAACAATCAACAGTCTCTGAAATCAAGTACATCGTATTTAACATATATGTAATTACTTCGGTTTTCAATAATAATTCGTTTTTCAGATACAATCAAAACATTTGGCCACAAGAATACACTGGGTATGATTTTTTCTTGAAAGATGATCGATAAGTTACAGGACTTTCAACTGTAATTGTATGCATTCCAGCCAGCAAATCAACAGAATTGACCGCCACTAATCATAAATGGTCCACTCCAAAGAATAATATCGAGAAGGATGCATTTAAATGCCGCACGATCTTCTAAATTTCCTTTGTTTTGAAACTTTTCGAATAAACTTTTACTCGTGGTTCACACAGAGTTTCTGTGAATCAAATGTTGTACAAAGTCGAAGTGTTTGATAAATAAGTTTATTGGTTAGAATAAAATACTACATCATATCTATCTCAATGAGCTGCTAACGTTATCAAATTGTCAACTCTTCCGAACGCGACGAGACTTTCACGGTTCACTGCTGTGCATTGTGTTCCGCATACTATGCGCGGGAAAGATAATAGTTCAAACGCTCTTGACGCGCATGTTGTGATTTTCCGTAGTTTTTTTTTAAAGATAGATGTCATCTTGGTTTGATAAACCTGTTTTTTTTTGCTTCACGATCCTTGTGTCATCTAGCTTGGCAACCGGTAGCTTGTAATCTGTGTAAATTATTAAGTTTCTCCTACATTTAATATTTTCAGTCAGAAAAGAATTAGGATCATTTTTTTGGATGTCACTAGAGAATGGAAACCTGGAGGGTGTGGCTGATCAGGCTTTGCTTCTGCTCACCCAAATGAAACGAAATCCAGATGTTATGCCTCCGTATAATGTGAGTCGTTATGCAGGATCTGATGGTGTTTTCAGTTTATAGGTTTTCAGGAGGAAGCGATGCGTGCTTGCATTGCCAAAATGAACGAACTATACAATTTAAATAATGAATGTGTGTAAGTGCTGAATAGATCATGTTCTTCTCAATCATATCAATGCTTTTGCTCGTTACTGTTCCTAAGCTGCTAGGTATGGTTGTATACATTTACATTCCATCATGTCTCTTCCAGAACTCGCTTACGATCGCAAGGCGAGAGAGCAAGTCGTGAGCTTGAGGCATTGATGATCTGCCGAAATGAGGCTTTGCAGCACATCCGGGTAGAGACCTTTTCCCCCTTTCATTTCATCCTTTTTTAGTTGATTCTGAAATTAATATCAATAAGGTACTTTCAAAGACAAGTCATCGAGTAAAGGCTCAATCATTTACTCAATTGTGTATTATGGGATTTACTTCAGAGATGTTGTTTGGCATACATTCACGCCAGAGCTGAGAGAATACGATCTTACCGGTGGCGATTAGGAGGGGTACTTCCCGCATCCATAAAGGTAAGAGTTTCACTGATCTTAATTGTTTCTTTGTTTCATT